ATCGCCCCGGCTTCTATTATCAAGCTACTGTCTCTGACTTTGGACTTTCGCTGTTGCCAGATCCACCATCATTTTTTTATTTTTATCAGAAACTACCATCAGACAAGGTACTTTATTCATTCTGATGTATATTTTCTCTTCATAATTTCACGTAGAACATAATTCGAGCAATAAAAATTACTACAATTAACTTCCAAGTAAGATTTTAACGTTTATTTTTTAGTAATATTTTTATCTTTATTTTTTTTTTTAGCAATAGTTACAATAATGTGAATGCTCCGTCGATATGAAAAACCGCAGTCAGGGACGGATCCAGACACTTCGAACGTTTCAATTTATGCATCAAAAAAGTACGTATCTTTTTTCGGAGTTACTTACAGTAATTTTTGAGGTACAAATCGTATTTCACGTTAAATTTTGATGACGAAACATAAATTAGCGTGCTGTATTCGCACCTTGTCTAATGGTCAATTTCTCAATTATTCTGGTGACAAACCACTGGAATCTTACGTATGGTATTCCGGTCGGATTTACTAGAAAGTCATTAAAACCAATGTCATAAAACTCAAACTATCACAATGTCGCACTGGGCTTTGCTTCTGGTACTGAATGCTCTCTTTTTATTTTTTCAAAATTTTTCATCGAGTTGACGGTCAGGTATACAGTTTTACGTCTTTGCTGAAAAATTTGGATTTGTGAACAAGTTCCCTCTCTGCATTCAGGGATTGATTTGGCAACCCTTTAAAGTATAAAACAGGCTCGTGTCTGTGTTTTTGCTCGGACCAGGGCGGAAGATTTATAGAACGATTTGTCATGTAGTTTAAGTTTGCCACCCAATTATCAGTAAATTAAATCTGAATTATAGGAGCGGGGCAAAAACTAATTCTCTCTCCCTCCCCCTCTACCACCCCTCTGATTTCACTGTCTGTGCAGTTGCGCATCTTGTCACGCCGAGACACATCGCCGCCCCTTCATCCCTCCATCCCTTCATCCGACCATCCCTCCATCCCTTGGAGCTCGAAGGAGCCGAGCTCAATTCCACCGCTCCACCCCTTGTCGCACGCCCTTATTTTGGATCTTCTTATTTCTCTCCTCGACTTTCGTATCTTTTCCCGGTCCTCGTCTCGAAATCAAAAGTTTTTCTTTGCAGGGGTGCAGCTTGAAGGGGAGGTGGGCTAAAACCTCCCCTCATATCTAAAAAATTTCTTCAAAAGTCGTCATTATCTGGGATTTTAAGGACTTTTTATTTTTAAACCGACGATTTGAGAAGCTAATTACCTTAATTTTAACAACCGTAGTGTACAAGAGGTTTTGGGCTTTATTCTGCATAAAGCCTTTATACTAAATCTCAACTTTTTATCCTGATCTTGTATAGTGATTTTATAATGTCTGCAGGCTGATTATTGAACTTAGTGGAAAAAGAGACAGACGAAGGAAAAAAAGAGAATAAAGTGGCCTTGTTGGTGGAAGCAGGGGGTTGCAATGGACAATAAATTGACGGGAGACTCTATCTTAGTCTATAACAACCACTCGTTTCAACCAACAGGATCGCTACATTTTCCTTTTGCCTCCTTCATCGTCAGCTTTGTCTATCACTTTCAATAATGACCCCACTGGTCAAACAGACCTCTACTCTTATATTCTACATACTGCACTGTTATAGGGCTAGTTAATTATTGCACTGTTATAGGGCTAGTTAAATATATCATGAAAATAAATTATATCTCCTCATTTTATTTCGCTAATTTTGCACAATGTGTATTTTCAAATTTACAAAACAATATTCACATCTACAGATTGCAACATTATTATAATGTTCTATGTACACGCAAAGAATTCAAGGGACCCTTAGAAAAAATAAATCAGATGTAGTTCCAAGGCTGCCCTGCGGCAGCTCTGAAGGAACCTTTCCCATTTTCTTTTCTTCTTTTTTTTTGGTGTTTCTCTACCCGAGAAGTATCTAAAAACGAGTTTGCTCATAACCCAATCAGTCGGAGCCCAAATCCTGTACCTTAATTCAACATAAGAGAAAGCACTGAGGACATCTCCCATGCAAGATACGTCTACTTATAACATGTCTCCTGATACATGTTTTTCATCAGAATTGTAAGCTGAATCCCAATCCGTTGAAATGAGGTAAGATTTTATGAAAATTAAAAAATCGGTTGACAAATTTTCTCCTGCCAACAGTAGATAGAGAGCAAGTCTACCTTCGGCCGCCTAGGACAGCCCCGGAACTGTCCCTTCTTTATTTTTACTTGGGACTTAAACATATCTGAAGACGGATTCACTTCTTTGAGAGTGTAAAAATCCATCGCAGAAGAGGATCGACACCATACATAATTTCGCTACGACTTAATTTATATGCATATAACACATTCCGTTCATTTTTTAGTATATGAATATATTATAAGGATGGATTTATAATAAGGTATGAAGATATAAGATTGTATTAAGTTCGTGGTAGTGCTTTTTCAGAAAGTTCTAACAAACTAACGCTGCATATAATTTCTGGATTTTAAGACTCAGAGTTTGAGGGAAGAAAAATTTTCAATATTCCTTTTCCATACCGTTGTGTCTTTCTTCTGTCTACGTTCGTGAAATTTCTACTTCTTATTTTCAAAATGAAGTAATTTCTCGGAGTTCTCAGGATTATTTTCCTATACACATATACCATTAAACATTATCATCATTTACACAAAATTCAGAGCAACAATGAAATCTTTGAATAATCTCTTAAATACTAGTTTGGCAAATGGAGAGCGCTGAGGAAATCAGTCATATCGACACTGGGTCTATTCAAAATAGTTCATCTGTTCAGCGGAAGAATTTTGGTTAGATTTAGTCGTATCGGGGTAGAGTTTGGGGTAATTATATACAATAAGCCATGCTCAGTGGAAGATGAAAGTTGGAATAACCTCTTGGATGGTTTTTAGCAGCTAGAGCGTTATTATTTTGACATTTTTACAAATTGAACTGCACTTTCATACCACTTTTGAGTAAATATTAAACTAGACGAAAGAATGATACAAACATTTACAATAGGTGGTTCTGTGCAAGAGTTTTCCTTGCTCTAGACGTCGCGCTAAGAGACAATACACTCTGTAGATCCCTCAATTACAATCTGTCGCAGGCAGTAAGTAATCGCCTGTTCAGATAGGTAACTAAACTAACTGCCTGGCAAAGCGGAGAGTATCACCAGGATTTGAAGGTGCTCCAAGCCGAGGTTAAGCTTTTGAAGCTTTTTTTGCCCATGAAATATTTACAATGACGATGCGTATCATTACGATTTGACAAATTTACACGATTGCCGCTTGCAAATTTCCGACGATGACTGACAGTCTGCGACTTAAGCAATTTAATCGGGTGAGACAAAAGTAAAGTTTGGAGGTCAAAGCTACTTTTCGTTTGATGACGATTCATGAGCAACTTGTTGAGCTTAAAATTCGCCCCATGATGGCTGGTGAATGTAGAGGTGAGTACTTTGGCTGGTGAGCTTTTGTATGAATTACGTTCGAATTTTTAAACCAGTTTCTCAACGCTTTGGTCAACATCGTTGACTTTAAGTAACTTTTGGGCTCTGAAGGATAGCAGTTCGGGCTCTCTAAAATATCTTGTCAATGGTCACGGCGTTACTCTTCCAATTTCGTATACGTCTCTATAACTCGCATATCGATGGCAAAAGTACGAAACCACGTATCTCCATTGCGCTGTCTAAAAATGTCCGCTGTTATTCTAATTTTTTTAAAAGAGAAACAACCCAACTTTAATACTTGAGATTTATACAGAATATATATTCAACTAACAAAAAAAAAAAGTTTTCAAGAAATTATGTTGATTGGTTTTCCGAAAAAAAAAGTAAAGTATGGCAGGAAGTCTACAACGTTGAAAACGGAGATGCGTCGTTCCGCTTTTTGGCCGTCGATATGTTACTAGTCCTACACTATTGCACATATATTGTTTTCAACAACAGAACAATTTTAGAAGCAAACCAACCGGTCATAAATGAATGGTTATTTGAAGAGAGGCCTAACCGCCAAATTAATCAAATTATCAGAATTTAAGATTTTGATGGAGTACTTTTCTTTGAGGGTACTTTACCACCGAGCGATTCCACTAATTGCTCTTGAAACGCCTTTTTCTAATATTTGAAGATCTACTTTAGTGGAAAAAGGGCGTAAGCTCCAAGTCACCTCCCCCAGGGCCCGGGTTCTTTCTAATAATAAAAACTAAGTATGTGTAAGTGCACGAACTATGATTTATAAAATTGTCATTAAACACGCATGTTATTTGACTGTCATAATACTTATTACGGATCTTATTACGGTCTCATTGCGAATGGTATGTGGAGCGATTCTCAAAAATATGAAGACTCGTTGAGGAAATTGAGTTTTTTTCATGTTATCTCGAAACTTTGACATTTAGCAGTTACGAACCTCTTTTAAGACCCATTCAAGTACAGACTGGTTAGTGGAACGTGAAGTAACGTGATAGAGAAAGTATTGCCATAAAAGGGCCGTTTTTGATCGGCTTCTCCATATTGGACTTCATGGAGCTCTTAGGACTCAAGTTCAGCGGACGTTGTAAGCAGATGCAGTTACAGCATGACTTAAATTGTGGTTTTATTCGCATAATGCACCGGGCCCTTGACTCAAATTAACTTAATTAACTTTACAATAACTTTGCGTCAAAATAATCATTTTGGCGTGTTAGCAAAGTTATACGGTCAATCGTGTGTTATTTCCGAAAAAAAAACTTATCTTGGATATGATAAGATTGGCAACGAGTGTGGCTGGTGATAACCCGTCAACAATTAGAAATAATTCCACCTCCACCATAAAAAAAACCTAAACAAAGCGCAGCCATTTTCGGGTCCTAAGGCGTCCATGAAAATTGGAGAGGCGTCATGTCCATACTATTTCTATCAAATTACCGTACAGATTAACGCTGTTCGACCGACTTAAAGTATTCCTCTACGAAGTATGGAAAACGCCGCGATTCTAATGAACCAAGAAGGGCTTATCGGCCGGGTCAACACGGTACGGCTGGAACAACTTCTTGAGCCCCGGTTCGGCGACCGGTTTCTTCGGCGAGGACTCCATCCTCGCGTTGAACGTCGGGGACCCAGGGGCCGGGTCGTTCTTTGCCGGGGAGGAAGAGCCCGGCCTGGACATCGGCGGGGAGTAGCGCGGGTTGCTCGTCGGCGGCGGGAACCTGGGTGACGTCACGGTGGTGACGCAGTTGACGATCCCGCAGAGGCAGCTCACGGAGCCGTCGCAGTTCCCGGTCGGGGGTGGCCCCCCCGGGGGGCTGGCGCGGGGCTCCGAGTGGGTGGGGCTCGGCTGGCAGATGAAGGGCATCCCGGGGGGCGGCGGTGGGGGCGGGTGCGGCGGCGGGGGCTCCGCTCCGGGGGGCCGCGGCATGGAGTACGGGGTGAAGCGGGGGTGGAGGGGGTAGCAGAGGGTGGAGTAGGGGTAGGTGCTCGCGGCCATGGCGGCGATGCCCCCGGCGCCCGCGGCTGAGGCGGCTGCTGCCTGGAGGATGCTCGCGGCGATCGCAGGGTCTGTGTACAGGGCGTAGGGCCACGCCATCGCCAGCCGTTGACGCTTGTCCTTCATCCGCCGGTTCTGGAACCATACCTGTCGGACAAAGAAACAATGCAGAATTTGTAGTCAAGAGCTTCATAGGCGGATTCTAGCACTTTGAATGGGAGGAGGGGGGATCCAAAGGGGGACTTCCTAAAATTTTTTCGAAATTTTAAAGCATGTAATATGCAGTTTGAGTCAATTTCTTCATGATAAATGTCAAGTATAAGCGCCCTTCCTTCTCTCTTCCTACATTCCTTTCACTTTCTTTTTTCCCCTTCTTTTTTTGGGCGAAGGGGTGGGAGCACGCACCCCTTACTAGAGTACCTTTATAGACAGAGTATGGCCATTCGTATCTTTTTACTAGAGGAAAACTGTTCCGCTTTTTGATTGGTCAACGAGTTTTTAGGCTTCATGATGCTCTTAGGGCCGTAAATAAACAAACAAGATGACGGCTCACCGTAACATCGATAAGAAGCTAAAATTTGACAAAAATTTCAATTACACGGCAGTAACAATTTAAATTAGCATATCTACGAATAACACATAAAAAACACATGAAAACACTGTTAAATCGCCTTTCGCCTATATCACAGGAGGATGTAAGATGTGCATAACCTCAAACCAAGACCAATCCACACAGGTCAGTCATTCCCGTGGACGAGTTTTGGTACTCTACTGCGCAGTGACGTACTATTGAGTGCTTGCAATGTATTTCTTATGGGAGCACCCATTGTGACGTACTATTGAGTGCAGCCGAGTTAGGGCCGGGCGGGGAAGTGACTTTCAAAAAGATGCGCAATGACTGACCTGTGTGGATTGGTCTTGCCTCAAACTTGCTTGCTGATAACAGTCATCTTGTTTGTTTATTTACGGCCCTAAGAGCATCGTGTCAGCCTATTCGCTCGCGACCAATGAAAAACCGGAACAGAAATGGCCATACTCATATAAAGGTACTCTATCCCTTACCGCCAGCAACAAAGCAATAGCTTTATCGAATAAATTTTCATTCGGTTAGCTGTGGAAGTCTACTTAAGTGCTATTTTGCAAATGAGCAAGAGAACAATTTGGTTTTAACAGCTATCGATTACTTAAGCATTTAATGTGCATATTTTGAAACGGTAAATTTTCAAAATAACAACCTGTACCCTGGGATACCTATTAGCGGCTGATTGTTGAAATTTATAGACATAGCTATAGGCAAAGATGACAAACGGGATATGGAAGGTTGGTGGAAGCGGGTGGTTACAATAGACAACGGAGGTAGGTAATAGACGAACTAACGACAACCCACGAGAGACCCCATAGTTCGTCCAATATTTCCCCCTTAGTCTGTGAGAACCACCGATTGTAATCAATAGGAGAGCGCCATACTTGTAAAACTGTTAAACTTGTTAAATTGGAGAGATTTTTAAATAAATAAATCTTTAGATATAATAAAATGATCTAACTCAAATTAAATTATCCAAGTATGAAATAAAACAAGTTACCTAAGGGATAACAGCGCAAAATTTTGCATTTCTTCTCTGTCTATAACTTTGTCTATCAATTTCAACAATCAGCTCGCTGAGTAAATCAGCATTTAATGCTGAATTCGAGAATGAAAAATCATGTGTGTTGATTATGTATACACGGCACAGCATTGTTCTCTGTAGCATGGTACTGGTACGAGTAGCACAGCACCAATAAATGATAGTGCTTTGATAGTACCTTAATAGTTGATTCCGGGAGACTAAGCTGAGCAGCTAATTCGCATCTTCTTGGTCTTGAGACATAATTTTCCCTGTAGAATTCCTTCTCAAGGCGGGCAAGTTGATCTCGCGTGAATGCTGTCCTATACCTCCTTATGCCGGGGTCTAAATTATTTTCAACTTCACCTGAGGAGAAAAAAAGGCTCAGATTAGTAATTCTCATGGTACTACGTACTACTGCGTATTATTTTCATATATAGCACTGTAAATCCCATAACACTATTTCTATTGAAATATACATAACAGCCCTGAAACAAAAGAGCTAAAAAAATTAGGTGAGTATTCCCGATAATGTCTCCCTACGTTTTCTAAATTTAAGGCTTTAGGGGCCCTTTCAGGTTTCGTAAATACGCTATCAAGAATTTTGAGATCTCAAAAAGACTAAGAAAGACTCAAAAATAATAAAATTACGGCGAAATAAGTACTAATTGGGGAGGGGGGGTGAGGGAACCCTTCGGGCCCCGCAGCAGATCCTAGGGAGGCGATCGTCTCCTAACTTCCCTAACCAATCCGCCCTTCGTTGGTAAGTATTTTATTTTTATTCCCCTTCAAGTCAACCCCTTGGCTAAAAGCAAAAATGAGAACCCCAACTTCAACCTATTTGGCCATATGAACGCACCCTTATAGGCTCCGATCAGGGCATTTACTCACATTTTTTTAAAAAAAACTTCATTGAAAGAAATAAAAAAAATTAAAAAAAAAATGTTTACATTAACTCAATTTCAAGGGGTAGTATGCATATGAGTGCCAATTCTATTCGCGTGAGACTGTATAAATGCGATTTTTACAGTCCCTCTAAATTAAGGGTGGCCTTATTTGCCTCGCGTATGTATATGTATCGATGATACCGTATAATATCTTCGGCGTATATAATAATAAGTTGACAAATCATTGCTATCTCTATCTAGTTCACCCCCAGCATTGTTCACGCGAACGCCGCGCCAATTGGTCGAACGCTGCGGTCATTAAGACAAGTCTATTGACACCCGCGCCAAACAGACGTAATGAGAGGGGAAGGGCGCGCTAAATGGCATTTAATTTGATGATTGTCGCTTGGATCGACAAACACGGCCAACATTTCCATGGACTTATAAGCTTTATCCGTCAACACGGTGCAAGGTTGCCGGTTGGTGCGAAAAAATACCGTACTCGTTGCACAGTTTAAAGTGGCACAATGGATCACAAAACAGGGTATGAATCTATCCCCCCAAATACATTATAAATTAGAGAAAACGGCGGACGTATTAAAACTTTTCAAACTTAACGTGAGAAAATGAGATTCTTTTTCAGATTTGATCAGGTTTATTCATACTTCCCGCTCACAGGGAAAAAAAATCGAGTTGAGTAAATTATGTAAAATGTGAACGTTTATTTCTCACTAAACTTATGAGTTAATTTTGGGAGCTTTCGATAGGTTTTTAACGTCTTCTTCGCGAGTTGTCGATGAAAAAACATGTGCGGTGTAGAGCTTAGTTGGTCAATTATTGAAAGTTTAAAGCAGCCCGATAAGACATCGAAATGGGATGTGTTGCATGTTTAAGATGGGGCTATGTCCTGTCTTGTCCTGCCGACATAGTTACAATAGCCGTATTTCCTTACTCCTATGACTTAAGGTGAATCTTCAGAAATGCAATCTGAAAGTATTGATCGATATATTTTAAATTTTGACAATTCGGGGAAAATCGAAAGTTCAGTCTATAGATAAAGTATTGAGGAATGTTCGCGCCGAAAATCATCCTCTGAAGTCTTAAAACAAAGTTAAAAGTATTGTTCCAAATTAATCATCGATAGCGATACATCAAAATCCGTTGCAATCTGAAAACAGTACTTCGGGCTTTATTTTAAGATTTTTGATTTCCAGCAAAAGCTTTAGATCTAAAGTTTGAAATTTCGATTTTCTCAAAATAATCTGCGCCAAAGCTGAAGATCCACCTTGAGTCCATATATATACTCTGTCGATTGGTCCATCTGGCACCCGCGTGTCATCCCTGTATCGACGGGGGAGGGGGGGGGAGCGCGGGCACGCGGCGACAGTGGCTCACCCCTCGTGTCTTGTGCTGACCTCTGGTCACTAATCATGATTTACGTCGCCGAAATAAAGGATCGGAGCAATTTGCGGGATCCGTGTCATCCTGGTTAACAGGCGTCTCAAATTGATTGGAGCCGCAGCGGCTGTGATTGCGGTCGCGGGTCGCGGTAATTGCTCGAGGAGTCACGCTGCAGTTCGGCGCGCCCCCGTCTCGCGCCCCAATCGACCGGCATCCACCACCGATGCAATAAAATCCACAATGGTCTCCCGTCGCGTTGGCAGCGATGTCACAACATATCGCGCTAAAGCGGCAGCTGCCCGCCCATGCGGCAGGTAGGGGTGCGAATTTTTAATTGATCTTTCCAAAGAATCGATAAAATCAAATTGATCTTCATCCCTGATTTTTCAGCTGAATCGATGTTTCCCTCAAGTTGATGCTCTTTTTAATTTTTTCCGAGTTTTCGGCTATTTCTGTATAAATTGTCTACATGATCGCGGTGCGCGGAACTGCGGGAGAACTTCTTTCAGGAACTTACATGGAGAATTCGCACGCAAAATTTTTAGTGCTTCATCTGAGAGTGCTCGAACAGCTGGTTTTGTAGTATCTTATGTAATTTTCTTCTGATACGGGAAATAATGTAAAAATATATTTTAAAGTGAGAAAATGCACAGCCCACCGACGTCATCTGATGGTATTTTCCACTCCAACACATGTATTTTAGCAGATTCGGTTATATTGTTATATCTCCTCTAATAACTGCTCAATTTATTAACCGAGGGTATCCTCGTATTCAATTCACTCGTTCCCTTTGAAACACGACATTTTTATCACTTTTCAGACACCTGCAAATTCTCAATTCACGCAAACTGCGCTTGTGTGGACTGGACCCAACACATTTGATCGTTAAAAGAAAGTGCATAATAATCTTTAATTGGAAAAAATTATTTTTAAACCTAACTGGAAGCAGCTGTAAAGAATCTCTGGATCAAAATCTAATTTTCCCCTAAAAATTGCATTTTGGTCACAGAAAACCTAAATAGAGAATAGGGAAGACTCTCCCGCGTTTTCGAGGAGAGCCGTTAGGTTTAAAAATAAAGTTTTGAAATAAAGGGCTTTGTCCTCGTGTTCTAATATATTTGTGGCAGGGGAGAGTTATGGATTTGAGGCGCACCTGGGGTTTGCGCTTCTTACCAGTCCGTACTTTGTGCCTCTCGTGTAGAACCTGTGTTTATAACTTTCAATAACTATATACCTAGATGTATGTAAACATTTTTGAACTTTCAGTTTTTTGGCGGTTTTTTTTGCCTCATTCATAATGCAGTAGATTTTATTTTACCGATTGATAAAGCGGCTGTTCAGCCCCAAGACGTCTCGGATTTTTCCCCCAACAGTTTAGCCTTGTTTCCCCATTTTGTTTGTTTTGCTTCCTATATATGTAAAATATATGTTATAAGTAATATGTATATTATACATTATTCCTCCTTTATACATTTTTCCTACTCCGGGTAAAAATGAACTGTCGTGTACGATGCACCTCGCCGCCCCGTATCCCGTTTCGTCGCTGAGGAAATAGAATGCGAGCCCCCCAGGCTAATTAGACTTGTAAAACAGGCTATCTCCTTGATGGGGCGCAGCGAGGTTTAAACCCGGAGAGATTATGAGGCTGTAAACCGGAGAAAGACGCCGAGGAGAGTGCGCGAGGCTCGGATAGGCCCGGCCCTTTTCTTTGGCTCCTCCTCTTTCAAGACGGAGCGCAGGGTCCTCCCTCCGTCCACCATTTTCGCCCCCTCCCGGACCGCGCGCTCCCGCGGGGGAGGGGGAGGGAAAAAGCTGGCGCCCTCTCCCCCACCGCCGACTCATTACCCGCGGAAATGCGCGCATTAGCCAAGCCTTATAGTATGAGTCACTAAAATTATGATCAATTTTCTCCCTGCTCATCGCTTGTTATCTGTGCAGCACTTGAAGCGCGGCGCCCTATTTATTAAACTTTTCATACCACCCTCCCCCCACCCACCCCCGCCCTTTTCTTTTTTTCTACGCGGCGCTTTGCATTGAACTTGAACACCCATTCGAAGAGGAAGAGCGTATATTGTAGAGTGGCGATTCCAGCATGTTGGTAACACTGTTTTTTTTTTTTTTTTTTTTTTTTTTTTTTTTTTTTTTTTCTCCACTAAAGCGTATGTTGAACAATCGATTCTATTTTTACATGTGAATAGGTTACAAATTGCACGGTAGTTTATATACTCCACTTTAATTTACCTCTAGAACAATGTATATAATTATTGTTAGAAAAACGCTTCTTAAAAGGAGACCGCACCATTCACGTCATGACTCGAAATTTTGACGGAGTATCCTTCGCTGGAAGGAAAAAACTCATCAAAGTTTTCAAAAAATGTCGGCGAGCATGTTTCTGATTGAAAAACGCAGTACTGTAGACTCTGGATTATCCGGCTTCGTATTATCCGGACTCTGGATTATCCGGATCGATTTTGCAGCCATGTAACTACGTACGCATTCCGATAAGTGAGCGGATCCGCGGAGAAGCGGTCGCAAGGCATATTGGCGCCTGCAAGGCTGAAGGAATACTTCACGCATTGCGCCAAAAAGTGAGGTCGGCGTGAAACGCATTAGCGCCTACTAGATTGCATAAATACTTCTCGCATTACGCCAAACGCAGTGCAGTCGGTTAGTTAGCCTCAAACGCACATTAGCGGCTACAAGACTGCATGAATACTTCACGCATTGCGCGCTTTAATCGTTGTATTGTAATTTATCGTTGTCGGCTACCATTCACAATCACCATTGAGTCGTTCAGGTTGGCGTTAACCTTTTAAATTCGTGTTGGTATGTACATGATGTATACATAATAAGAATACTGTGGTGTTGGTTGGTAGTGTTTGTGTTTACTATTATTATCCGGATTTCTTTTTCATCCGGATCGGGCCCGGCACCAATTAATCCCGATAATCCAGAGTCTACTGTATATATTAGAGGAAGTCACTATACGTCTGCAATGTCGCAAACCAAGACACGCGTTTTTGAAATTACATTGTTGATATACTGTAATTTAGACTGCACGAGAAGTTTACGTTACGT